AAATACCAGAAATTACAGGTATGTGTTAATTCTGCTGACTAGAGATCCTTTTACCTTATAAAAAATGTAGGAATACATACAATTATGACGTGAAAAAAAATTCAGGAGCCATGCACAAGTTTGTAAGATTTTTATTACGACCACAAAGTAAAGAAAGCACACCATCAGATTTACGAGATTTTTTATCACCACCTCAAAATTCAGTCAAGAAAGTTCAAATAAAGTTACATAATCCGTGAACCGGCAAACGAAAGCCCCACATTTACAACTATAAGGTTGTGTTGAACCCATATTAATAGCCAAAATTTCTGCTACACTCCGTTTCCCTAGCGAGTGATCGCCCCCCTCCCCCATCCGTCCAAAAACAAAGAAAAACACTGGTCAAAATCCTCTATAATCAGTAAACCGACAAACCGAAGGCACACGTTTACAACCACAATGTTGAGTTTAAGCCATTTTCATGTAATCACTTACCGCAAATAAGGTATTACCCCGGTACTAACGTTACAGCCGTCAACTTCAACATTTAGAACGACAAACAAACCGGATGTTACAGTTCGCACGAGGAATGGTGGGATTTTTCTTGGGGCCCGCATGCCGTTTTTCGTAAGGCGTAATCAGGCCTTTTCAGCTTCATAATACGTAGACAACCTCCCAAAAATCAACGTAATCCGTAACAGAACAGTAGCTGCAAAGCGTAAAGTAGTTATAAGGTCTGAGACTTTAACGTAATTCGTAATATTGGCGGCGAAAATTTTGCATAATCCGTAATCACTATCCCCCATGCATGCCCTCTTCACTATACTTCTTGTGTCTTGTTTTTGTTGGGCGCCCGCGCTAATTAATGTCCTTATTACAATGTATTACAGTACCCACATATCCCTACGTGCACAAACAATGGTCTATAGGAGGAACTCTGACTATCCACTTCTTACCTGATGATATTTCCTGCTATTTGACGCACAATATACTGCCCGCCACTGGCGAAAACCTGACGCCGGCAGGAAAAGTCGTCCACTCCGCAGACGACCGAACGCAAAAATGATCACGTGACGCCTATGACCAATCAGCGTCAGCGGAAGAAATTCGCGGGAGATTCGAAAAGCGTTCTATGATTGGTCTGCGTCAGGTTGATGCTTTTATGCCCATATTTGGGCATGCCTCTGAATTCCTTTCTTATTACGTCACGCGCGTACGCCCCCACAGTGCTTTCCTATGGGGACCGCAAAAAAGCAAATAAAACGATTGTAAAAGCTTGTATCAAAAAAATTTAAAAAACGCCTAAGGGTATTTACCCACTCTACCTCTATACGAAATTACAGGTAATTTCGCCCAAAAATGATGGAGTTGAATCAATTTAAAGAAGTGGCAGGAGAAGAAGGAGGAGGAGAAGGAGGAGAAGAAACATCAGAAAAAGCAGTATTTCACTCCATACTGAAGTATGGAGTGAAATAATAACATACAATACACAGTACTATAATATACGGACGGGGGTGTGTGCATTCCATAATCTGTTAGGGAATGGAATACAACATGGTGTTTCAGATAGATGCCAAAGATGTGGAATGAACGCAGCAAAGCCACCAGAAAAAAATCATTGCATCAATTACAAATCATCACATAGAGCAAACTATCCCTACATTATGGGATGTGATAGGTTAAGACCGTACATTAATGAGTAGACTGATGATGAGGAGTAGAAAGGTGGAGAAGAGCCAGGAGACCAGGAACACCAGGAGCAGCAGTCCGCAGTTCCGCGTCAGAAGAAACTCCTGCCGCTTGCGAGCATCTGACGCCTGGAACAGACAGAGAGAAGATTATTGTGGACAATGAATACATCAAACGGTAAGAGTTTTAGATTCGGGCGCGACATGTGCTTTATATGCTGTAGTTTGTATTTTGTCCCTATACTGGCTGCTCACTGGCTTGCCGGAGAGCCATTCAAGTATGTGATTGTAGCTGATTGATTGATTGATTGGTTGATTGGTTGATTGGTTGATTGGTTGATTGGTTGATTGGTTGATTGGTTGATTGATTGACATGGCTCTATATTTCATTTCATATTCTAACTTATATCATTATATATTTTATGCATATATATCATATCATAACTTATATGAACTTAAAACTCTAATACGTAAAATATCAATACTGATAGCAAACCTGATTCTGCAAGTAGATAACTGACCAATAGACTCTGTGTACACAACCAGGGGTGATGTGATTGTTAAAACTTTCTTGTAAAAAAACTACATTTTTAATTCAATTGATCGAATATACAGGTTGACTGAAGAAAAAAGAAAACTACAGCACACGAAAATCAGTACTGGTCATTTTATGGCAAATACAGTGCATGTTAAGACTACTCACCTGCCCTTGCAGTTTCGCTCCACTCCGACGCACATACAGGACGATCTTAACATAACACGACACACATGTGGCCACCATGGTCACGATCAGTACACCGCTGGTGCATTGGAACACGATGTAACCTGGCGAGTTCGTATCCTACAAAAACATCCAGGACCAAAAATCAACATGAGATGCATATAAATAAACACACATGTATGTAAATTCCGATTTTAAATGAAAACCACTTGTCTCACAAAGGTTTATTTATATAAGGCCACAGCAAGTAATTTTTATGAATAACATCAACGCACGCATTGATTTTTGTAGGACTTTGAAAAAAAATTGTTGCCCTCTGACAGTGGTCAACATGCCGAAAATGGGCAAAGATCTCTTTTGTCAGTCTGAACATGGATGGCAGATAAATGTTTAAAAAAGGAGACAAGACAAGGCTCTGATTTATTGTTTTGTCTTTTACTTTGATGAATTGATGTATTTCATTCCCTTTATATGTGATATTCCCACTGAATCCAAACCATTTGTACAATGATTAAAACGTTTATTTTTCAGTGACGATAGCAGTAAACTTGGCACAGTATAGGTACCATTTCTTTTTAAATAAGGTGTAAAAATTTGAAAAAGTAGGAATCTTGTTTTTTTGTCTCGCCTTGGTTTTTTTCGCCCTATCGCATTTGTTTTGGAGCCTGCGAGGATGTCACCCATAAAATTTACTTGCTGTGACCTAATCTCTTAGCAGATCCTCCCGTAGACAACGGTATTGGCCTGCAGTTCAGCTGTCAATATGCCATAGCCTGCCCTTAGCAGGTTTCCAATTTATTAATCCAATTAGCCCAGCACCCAATCAGAAAGAAGATTACAACTTCCCTACCATCTCGAAAGCTTGATGCCTATTGCCTGTTGCTCTCTGCATTCCTTACTGATGAGTCATTGCTATAGGTATCATTTCTTGTTCAATAAGATATACCACGGGAATATCTGCATGGAGATTTTACATTTAGGCCATGTATACAGTGTACATACCACAAGAAGCGTACAACGTCGAGTGCTGGTCAAATATCCAAACTCCAACCCTCCGGCGTGGCAGGAGAGCACGAAGGTGAAACTAGCGGCCGCGAAGACTGCCAGAGCGGCAGCGGTGTTCCTCCAGGTGAACAGCCTGTCGTACATGTCGATGTCCGTGGTGATGACCACGCACCGGTTCACGGCGATCAGCGTTAGTGTAAGGGTAGACATGACTCTGCACACAATACACAGAAAACCTGCAGGGAAAGGGACAAGTTTAGCCTGGGTACCATCTGGAGTTTCGCTCTGTACACCCCAAAAAGTGATTTTTTTCGAGCGTTGCGGAGGGAAAATCCTGATGGTACGAGTCCCCAGGGTAGAACAAGTTGGGGAATAGGGAACTTCGAATGCGCGGAACAGTAGTCAAAAGACAAAACATTATTTGTTATAAAATGACTTTTATGTCTAAGAAATGTATTTTATTGTAAAAAAAATATGCTGCAGAATCCTTCGAGATGGGATGGTTATGGAATTCTGAATCCACATTTTACAATCTTATATTTTAAGTCAAAGAAGATTAAATTGTACTGTACTGAAGTGTTTTATGTTATATGGGCAACATCAGCACCTCAATGACAGTTCACTATGTTCCTTACTACTTCGAGGGTTCACATCACTTTCACACCTACAAAACTGTTATGTCTTTGATGTAGTTCAAAACTTAATTTGCTATACGGGTAGATTCTTGTAATTGATAGATCACCAAATTGTCTTGTTTTGTATATATCTTGGTTTTACCCACCTTGTGATTATGCATGTATTTTGTCAATGTGTTTTCACTCGTTGTATGTTTGAGTAGAATGTGTTATATAAGCAACTTGTGTTTTTTGCCCAATACTCAATAAATGTATGTGAATAAAACTTACCAGTGACCATGCAGACTGCCGGGTCCAGCGGCCAGCTGTTTGTGATGACAGAGACGGACGCAGCCGGCCCCACACACAGGGCGAACACCAGGTCCGTGCCGCACTGGACTGCCACCATGGCGTTAGACGGCGTGCGGAGACTCGGCGTCCTGATAGTCACTTTGGCAGGCAAGAAACGTTTTACATCCGTAAATAATTTCAGGTGATTAAATGATTGAATAGTTCGTTTATTCACAATCATTTGTTTTATTTACATGAGCCGACGTTTCGATGACCGTCTGTCATCTTCATCAGGGCTATAATGACTGGTTTACTGTGGACTGAAGCTAGGTGTTACATGGCACACTGTGCACTACTGAAGCTAGGCCGGTTACATGGCACATTGTGCACGCGCACTGAAGCTAGGTGTTACATGGCACACTGTGCACGCGCAATGAAGCTAAGTGTTATATATATATGGCACACTGTGCACTGAAGCTATGTGTTACATGGCACACTGTACACAAAATCTAGGTGTTACATGGCACACTGTACACTGAATCTAGGTGTTACTGTAATAATGCAGTCCCAATCGTAAAACAAAGAAACGTTGCCATGAATTTTCATTAAACTGTTAGTAATAATACCATTCTACGCCATATTCGGAAACATGTACTAGATAGTATTACGCAAGTCCCGACAACAGCGAGATTTTTACTCTCATTTTCTCCTATAGACATTCAAATCTTAAAAGTGATCTACCTAGGACAACAAAGTTTTGTCTACTTAATATTTTGTGGTGGTTAAGCGTACTATTTGCTACTTCTTATAATTGCACAACAGTGGTTCTAAATACAATGCTGGTAGATACGATCCAACATTCAACAAATGATCTATACAAATGATCTAATAAGTAGTATACACATACAATCAATGATTAAATAATAAAAGGATAAGGTCGTCGATAAGAATAATAAGATAACTATATCTCACCAAGAATGACCAGAATACTGGTGACCGGACCGACAGTCGAGACGGCCAGTGTGTACACCAGTTCCAGCCCATCAGCCACACTGAACGCTCGCGCCGTGGTGTTGTTGTCCGGAAATGTGCCGTTGCTCTCTGACATCGTTCTTACCAGATTTCTGTGGTAACAATCTACTTCAGGCACACAGCCAGAGAAGGTATATGGCTAAAACTGCTTCAAAACGGCAGCAACGAAAGTATATCATCGTTACAGCTGCACTGCTTCCAAACTACCTTTCATACTACCAATCTCTTCATTAGATTGTTGCAACTGACGATTGTTGCAACCTTCGCTAGATTGTTACAACTGCCGGTAGAAGCACCTGTCTAGCTCATCCGATGGACTACACAGTACTTAGCGGTTAGTCTCAATGGCAGGATATCTTGCATTAAGCTCTTTAGCTGACCTGTGATGCTATTCGAGGACGTTCATTGTTATTCTACTTCCTATTTCTAATCCGTGCAAAAGAAACGGAAGCTTCCAAAACGGATCCGAGGAAAGACAACGTAACGATCACCTGTTACTGTACACAAAAGTAGAACCACATTGCATTTTTTTTTAAAACAATCAAAAAGCTTTTTTATTGTAATTTTTACATTACGCGATGCTACAATTTCCTAATATACAGTATATAGTCGGTATACTGTATTCACATGTCCTTGAAAAATGAAAAAAAAAACACTGTGTATAATATGCCATAGCTCCTTCGGGCTCTCTTCTAAGGTATAATTGTCCCGCCTATATAGCATAAAACATCTTCCGGATGAGAAAAGGTATTATTATTATTCCTTCCCCCCCCCCCCTCAAAGAGGCATAAAACTACACTGTAGCTAGATTTCTTGCAAACTGCACACAATTCTTTACCATTAGTCTCCCCATGAGGAGTCGCCAAAAAGGATATGCAAAGATATTAAACAGGCAGCCTCTACTGCGCAACGCAATTGTGACATCTGCCCTAAAAACAGTGCCAGGTCACCATATACAAAGTATAAGGTGTTTTCGTCGTCCAAAAGTGTACGTTCTTTCTCTTCAGCTACAAATTGGTTGGCCTGCGTGCGTATGTATGGTGTGGTCTGTAAGGTGTTTCTATTGTCATGATGTTGCAATGTTATTACTGGATAGCTTTAATGTCGGCTTTACTTCCATAAGGCAGCAAGTGGATCGTTTGATTGTTGATGCTGGTAAGTGACTGTACAAGCCGAACGTGGCGTGGTTGGGATTCCGATTTGGAGACAACTGTTTCCCAGCCTACCACAACTAACCCCAGACCTCAGGGACCCTTCCCAACTCTCCTTCAACCGAATGTTACTAACGGTAATTCCTTGCAAGAGAACTAGACCCTCCAACACTTGAACGTTGAAAATATTGACATCGTGACAAAGAAGAAGGCAAAGACCAAGAAGATCGTTGAGTCTTGATAGTTATAGAGTCGTAAATAGGTCAGAAGAAAGCCTGTACTCATGCGGCCGTAGAAGTCTGAATGGTTGCCTTGCTCGTGGCCGAAAGCTATCCTTTACCGAAGGAGGGAGGCGGACCAATATAATTGCAACTTCCCTGGCAAGTTAAGTCTATATGGCCAGTTTCTACTCTTTCCAGCCGCTTCCGAAGCCTCCCCAACATGTGTGTATCTGCTTTTGTCTGTATTGTTCCAAGGGGTATCCATTGATTGTTCCACAACTGTCAACAACGTAATACAACTAGTCACAACTGAATTGAATGATCAATCAGTACTTTTGGGGGGACAAAATCGTGAAGGTAAATGTTTATGCCAAACTCAAGCGTTTAAGTTTGACTGAGCCTATCTCTGTGACCACATGCATGGCCCCTAGCCTAGGGCCATGGAAGAAATGTGTGTCAGTGAACAGGTTAGACGACATTTCGCAATTAGCTGTATCAGGCGTGGCATCAGAATTCATTCTGCTTATATTCATTTCCGTATTAATAGTTATACAATATCCTAAAACATGTGGAAGAAGCTGCTGACGTCAAGTTCTCGGATTCTCAGCTGGCAGAAGGGCTCGCCCGACTTAAAGAAGGTGACGGCTGCAGTACCGGCAGTTATCGCAAGATGGCAGCATTCCGAGCTCGAGTCAGTCCATGGGCAAGGTCCAGTGTCATATGGGAGTCACGGTGAGAAGTTCCTTCCTTACGCCTGAGTGTGGGGTAAATATTTTGCCTCGGAACGGGTGAAAGAGCCTGATTTGTGATAGTGTGTGTGACTGTGAGCGCACATGTGATTATATATATGTGTGTGTGTGTGTGTGTGTGTGTGTGTGTGTGTGTGTGTGTGTGTGTGTGTGTGTGTGTGTGTGTGTAGTGTAGTGTGTAGTGTAGT